CAATAAAGCAGTTAGAAGGGCTAACTCAACTAAGGAGGCTAGGCATCATGAAGCTAAGAGAGGAAGATGGCAGGGCTTTCTGTTCATCCCTTGAGAGGTTAACAAATCTGCGTGCACTTGCAGTAAGCTCGGAGGGTCAGAATAAGGCCATCGATCTAAGGTCCCTATCCTCACCTCATCCATTTCTTCAACGCTTGTATTTGTCAGGACACCTGTATGAGCTCCCAATGTGGATACCTTCTCTTCACAGCCTGGTCAAGCTAACTCTCAGATGGAGCAATTTAAAACATGACCCACTGGTGTATCTGCAGGATTTGCCTAACCTTGCACATCTTGATCTACTTCAGCTTTATGATGGTGACTCACTCTGTTTCAAATCTGGAAAATTTAAGAAGCTTAAGGTTTTAGGTCTTGATAAGTTTGATGAACTTAGACAGGTGAATATGGAGGAGGGTGCACTGCCTTGCCTGGAAAAGCTTATCATACAGCGTTGTGAACTGCTAAAGAATGTGCCATCAGGCATACAAAACTTGACTAAGCTGAAAACCCTCGAGTTTTTCGATATGCCTGATGAATTGATCATGACATTATATCCAGATGATAGGGGAGAAGATTACTGGAAAGTTGCACACATACCAGAAGTCTATTTTACCTACTGGAGAGATGGTGGTTGGGATGTTTATGCACTGGAGAGCTTCAAAGAGAGTTCTCCTCGTTCGGGTATTGTCATGAGAAGTCATGAACATCGTAATCTATGGAAAGTGTAATTTCAGATTTTAGTATGTACAATTATTAAGTCCCATCTGTAAATTGCACTGTGCAGAAGCCAGATCGTCAAATAAAGATGTATGTTTTAGTTCACCTTCATCTAAGATTTAGGGAAAGACTCATTGTAACTAGTGTAAAGAAAAGTTAGAAGTCTGATCATAATTCTGTGTAGTGTAAACGACTTGTCATTTAATCTTTGAATAAATCCCATACTTCTTTGTTTATGGACTGTACTGTAAACAAAGCACATAAGCTGGAGGAGGGAAATGCATCCGTTATTTTTTTTTGCACTTCTCTTTCTTTGCTTCTCATCAAACTGGCCTTGTGATTTGAATCTCACAAAATGGAGTAGAATCTGCCTCGTTATTGCAAAAATAAATTTCTGTTTTAGATTTAATTATTGCTCAACTGTAATAAATGATCGTGCAAGACTCTAGTTAACACTATTAATAGTTGTCTGGAGGCCTCTGTGCCTTCAGATGACAAAACTACTAACCATGTCCTACCTTACAGACATCTAATAAATTGAATGGTTCCACTGTTCTTTAATTTTACAAGATGGTTTCATTTTCTCTTCTCCTTGCTGACTTTGTAAGGTCAATTGGGACATTCTAATAACTCCTAGAAACCCCAGACTGAACTAGACCTAGGAATATGTGATCAATTATATTCAAACGAAGTTTCTAAACCAGAAACCGAGTCTTAGCTTTTGCCAAAAGATGCAATGATAACCTCAGACAAGAATTCTTCCACTTGAGGAATGATATCAATATGGACGACAAGAATTCTTCTAGAGGGCACATCTGCAGATTGCAGCTATGTGTAATCTGCCAACCTGCTCTCCATTCTTATTGCAGATCTTCCTCAAAGTTTGCATCCAGTGCCCCATCAATTATGAAATTATTACCTCTCCTTGAAAATTTGTTGCAGCTCCTCATAAGCTTTAGCTTCTTGGTCAGACTTTGATACCAGTACTTGCAAAATCAGCACCAGATAGTTTGCTTCTCTGGTGAGCCTATGACTGACAAGAATGTCAAAGCCATCATATTAAAGAAGCTGCTTTTGTGTTTTTTAAGAAAACAATTTCATTAACAACTACCTTACTGGAATTTGTATCAGTAGAAGAGGAAGAAAAAGCGATAACTAACGTTTTGAAATTTATTAGTCATTTAAGTAATCAGAAGCAAGAAGAAGAAACTTTTGTTTTTGTTATTGACAAGTACTTTATTAGAATTCACAACTAATCTTTTGAAACAAATAATTGGAATTGTTTTGTAAATGGTTTGGAAACTCAGTTGAATATATTCAATGGCAGTAGTAGTGTCTTTTTTTTTTTGGGGGGGGGGGGGGGGAAGCCATGAGATTGCAAGTTCAAATACTACCCTTACCCTTCAATACATTTCACTTGCTAACATTCAGCTCCGGTGGCTTCAGCACTGATGGCCAGCAACTGGTGGCTCCAGTGATGGGGTGATAACTCTAGTGGCACACGACGGTGGTCTGACATTGACGGTGGAGCTTGATGGCCGGCCGGCGGCCATGATGAACCCCTTTTTTCTTGGTTTGAATAAGTTGAGTGCATTTTATGCAAATGACCATTTAAATCTCTAGGATTGCAACGAGGTTTAAAAAATTCAAAAAAAATTTTGACTTTGAAATGTAGATATTGGTCTTCTAAGAGCCTTAAATAGATGAGATTCTCCCTAAAATAATTTAACCCATTCCCAACTCAAGAAGTTGGATACTTATCATTTATTAAAGAGCGCTTGGGTTCTAATTAACTCTATCAACTAAGATAAAATATGTGCATATAAGAATTAAGACGCAATGAGTTTTTCATAGCATAGCTCTCTTAGACTAAGCATTGCTTGGTCCTTGATTAGATCACAGAAAAAGACCTCTCAACATATATGTGTGTGTGTACATGAAAAACTCCAGCAACTTTCAGGCCATTATATATATAAAAGTCCAGCGACCTTGTTAATTTCCGAATTCTCGGGCAAATCTTGCGTTTTTAATTCATGGTACCAATTTTAAATCTTGTCGTGTTTCAGAAGGAAAAAAATTTCAAGTTTTTCTGATGACAAAAATTTGCTTAAAAATGACAATATGCATGGGAGAAGGGGGTTTTATATTAATTCTTGACTCAGTGACTTCACATTTCGAGCCTTTTAACTCTAATTTCTTTATGATTCAACTTGGTTTCCTGTCACTTTAGATTATTCAAGGGACTAGACTTCACAATACAAATATAAACGGTCACATTTTTAATCAGATCCTTATCATAACTTGACACCAATTCTAACTTATTATATTCCTCATTTTTAATCAGATGGGTTGCATCTTTTTATGCTTCAGCATATCCTCCCAATTCCATTTCCTCAAGAAAGAGAGGGGAAAATGTTCACACAAGACAAGTCGATGAATTATGCCGCTTGAGACTAACTTTATGTGATGAGACTGAGAGAGTGATGAAATGTGGGCAGAGATTAAAAGTTTAAATCTTCTTGATGTATAGAACAAAATACTAGCACAATAAGCTATTCTCTTTAATTATGTATATCGAAACTATCTCTTAGTAGGAATTTCTTACCGTCAACAAGGATATTTTAGAGAAATATTATAAATTTAAAAGACAAAATAATTGAGATCTTATATTTAGAATTAAATCTAGTCTCCAACTAGCTTTTATATTAATAACTAGAGGTAGTATATTTTACAATACTATTTGATCCTAAATATAAGAGTTAAATAAGAGACTTAAGTTTACCTTAAATATCAAATTTCAATCCCTAAAAAAAAAAAAAGATCCTCACATTAGAGATTAAAAGTTTAAATTTTTTTGACGGATCATAAATAAAGAGTAACTTTATTAGGCAATGTTATTGTCCTCAAGTATATTGTATGTTTTATGAATAGAAAATCAACATGGATATAATAATATCTTTAATTATCTTCTTTATTATAAATTTATAAGCCTATATACTTATAAATAGATTATACCTTAGTCCCATTGCCGGCCGCATCGAAAATTTATCTTATTATCTCCTCATGGTTTTCTTATCTTTTTTGTTCTAGTTTTATTTTTCGTAGCATCTAATTTTATTATTTCTTGTTTTCCCAACTCTTTTTATTATTTCACATCTTCTATCATTTATTATCCCAGGTCTCCATACCAATAATATTTTAAACGCAATCCACAGTTGTAATCAACTTAGGTTTTTTCTCTAAGTTCCCTATACCAATAATATTTATACGATTTCTAATATTAAAGAAAATGAGACATATAACGTCTACTTGTATTATTATTTAAAATTGGTCAATCTTTTTTTCAATTTTTAATAGTTTGCGTGCTAAAAGAGCCTAAACAGACATATCAGTCCTCATGTAAACGACAAATAGAAGAATTAGTTAGAAGCAAGTAACAGGGGAGAATTTTGTTTAAAAACATGATAACATATTTATATATAAGAACCTTAATTTTTTTTAAAAAAATTATTCTAGAGGAAGGTCCTTAATTTGTAATGATTTAATGTCCCCGGGAATAATAATTTATGTCTTTTAAGAGTGAGACAAAAGAAATTTAATACTAAAATAAAGGAAATTTGATAGTCATATATAGAAAATTCAGCAGTTTGAAATTTCTCATATGTGACTATGAAATGTCTTTTTGTTTCTTCTACTGAATTCCCTGAACGTAATTAATAAACAAGATAAGTTATTTGTCTCATAGCCATTTTACATCATTACACATTTTTTTAAGAGAAGAACCTTCGTCAATGATTCTAAAAATTTAAGATTCTTACTTGTCACTAACTTATAATATTGATCTTTAGGCATACTTTTCCACTTTAATATTATACTATTATATGAACTTTTTGGCGTTTCTTTTGCATTAGACATAATTTTTTAAGCTTTAATTAGTTCTCTGAACAAAAGCGTAAGCTTGTGGAAATGCCCTTTTTTACACTCCACACGTTTCTTGCTCATCAAGCTAAAAGCGAGTCAGCAACCCTTAAAAAAGTCAGTTATTTTAATGTTCAATAATGTCTTTTTCGGAGTAAATTATGTTTCTTTATCGTGTTTGCTGGTTCCTTGTCCACCTGTGATGCAGTGGTATATAGTTTTGTTTTTTTCCCCTCTCAAGAGAAGATGGAAAATTGTTTATCTTTTTCTATGTTATAAATCATAAATTATTCTCTGGGTAACCAATCAGAGTATGCGAAACAAAAGATGTCGTTATAATGTCACTCTTTGGAAAATTAAAACAACCAGAAGATTATCAAGATTATATATAAAGCCAACAAGTCTGAGTTTTACTAAGCAACGAGCAATATCTTTCTGCTAGTCTGCTTTGAACTTGCAGGGGAAAATGTCACTAATCTAGAAAAGTAAGAAAGAATGGCAGAAAGAGCAGTGAATTATCTTCTTGAAAAGCTTATGCCCTTCTTTGAAAGCGAATTTAAATTGTTCACAAGGGTTGGAGAAGATGTGGAGCACCAGAAAGATAGATTGGAGCTGATCAGATCCTTGTTAAGGGATCCAGATGATTTGGAAGACGGTGATGAGGAGCTCAAAATTTGGGTTAGGCAAGTGAGAGATGCTGTTCACGAGACTGAAGATCTTCTGGATGAATTAGAGCTTCTTCAGATACATAATCACTCAGATGGATTCTCTGTTTCTCTTAGGAAGATTTCTTGCTGTATCAGAAACATGAAAGCTCGATATCGGATCGCCTCTGAATTGAAAGACATGGATTGCCGAATGAGAAATATTTTGTCAGAGCACCGGAGATTCATCAGTAGATATGAAGCTTCTGTTCATGCTTCAAATTCCATTTCTGCAGGTACTGGATTTAACCCCCTTTGACTTTTGAAGATTTTGTTTGTTCATCAGGGAAAAGGGGGATAAATATGGTGTTAGATAAAACATTAAAACCCATCTTTGGATTTTTTTTTTTTTTTTTTTAATTCTCTCAACAACTCAAGCCTTTGGGGTTAGCTGGTTGATTTGTAGAAGTTTCATCGATTAGTTTTAGGTTCTGAAAGCTAGTACTATGCTAAAGGGGAGGCGTGTTTGCTGATATTAACACTTCATTTGTAAGAATAGTATGCTAAACTATCTTATTAAGCAGATAACACATGGAATGATCAAAGAGGGGATGCTCTTCTCCTGGACAATAATGATCTAGTGGGCATAGGCAGACGTAAAAATAAGTTCATCCAGTGGTTGGTTACAGGTTGTTCCAGCCGCAGAGTAATTTCTGTAACTGGAATGGGAGGACTGGGGAAGACAACCTTGGTGAAGAAAGTATATGATGACCCAGAAGTAAAAAGACATTTCAAAACCTGTGTCTGGATTACTGTTTCTCAATCTTCTAGTACTGAGGAACTTCTTAAAGACACAGTTGAACAACTTTTTTACGAAATAAGACAGCCAGTTCCAAGAGGCTTGGAAAGCATGAGCACCGTTAAGTTGAAGGGGATTATCAAGAAGTTGCTGGAGAGAAGGAGATATCTGGTGGTGTTTGATGATATGTGGCACATGTATGAATGGGAAGCTGTCAAATATGCATTGCCTAACAACAATTGCAGCAGCAGAATTATGATCACCACAAGAAAAACTGATTTAGCCTATATGTCCAGCTTTGAATCCAAAGGCAAGGTCTATAACATGCAATGTTTGCCAGAAGAGGAAGCTTGGGATCTATTTTGCAGAAAAACATTTCCTGATCATTCATGCCCCTCATATTTGGTGTGCATATGCAAGAGTATCTTGAGAAAATGTGAGGGTCTTCCCCTTGCAATTGTGGCCCTCAGTGGTATTTTGGCTACAAAAGACAGGTGCGCCATAGATGAATGGGACATGATTTGCCGCAGCATTGGAGCTGAAATTCAAGGCAATGATAAGCTTGATAATTTGAAGAAAGTACTTGGTCTCAGTTTCAGTGATTTGCCTCACCAGTTGAAGCACTGTATCTTGTACTTGAGCATCTTCCCTGAGGCCTATCTGATTAAGCGGATGAGATTGATTCGGTTATGGATAGCAGAAGGATTCATTGAAGCCAAAGAAGGAAGAACAGTCGAAGAAGTTGCAGAGGATTATCTCAAGGAGCTTTTGAACAGGAACTTGATACAAGTAGCAAAGACAACATCAGATGGAAGAGTCAAAACCCTCCGCATCCATGCCCTTCTGAGAGAAATCCTCATTTTGAAATCCAAAGATCAAAACTTTGCGGCCATTGTCAAAGAGAAAAGTGCAGCATGGCCAGAAAGGACTCGACGCCTTTCAGTGTTTAGTTCATTGCCAAAAGGACAGCATCAAAGGTCTGTTTCCCAACTTCGTTCCCTTTTCATGTTTGGAGTTGCAGAGAAATTGTCCCTTCACAAATTGTTTCCAGGTGGTTTTAGATTGCTTAATGTTTTAGATCTTGAAAAAGCACCTTTGAGGAAGTTTCCAGTACAAATAACTAACCTATATCATTTGAAGTATCTGAGTTTAAGAAAAACAGAGGTGAAAATCATTCCAAGTTGTATTGGGAAGTTGCAGAAGCTAGAAACACTGGATGTCAAATACAGTTCTGTCACAGAATTTCCTGCAGACATAACAAATCTTCACAAACTTCGCCATCTCCTGGTATATCATCATCGCTCCAAAGTAAGAAGTTATGCAAAGTTCCATTCCAAATGTGGTTTTAAGGCCTTCCATGAGATAGGAAATCTACAGTCACTACAGAAACTTTGTTTCATAGAGGTAGATCAATGCAGCAGCACTACAATAAAGCAGCTAGAAGGGCTAACTCAATTGAGGAAGCTAGGCATCTTGAAGCTAAGAGAGGAAGATGGCAGGGCTTTCTGTTCATCGATTGAGAGGTTAACTAATTTACGTGCACTCTCAGTTACCTCAGAGGGTAAGAATAAGGCCATTGATCTAAGGTTCCTATCCTCACCTCATCCATTTCTTCAGCGCTTGTATTTGTCAGGACACCTGGATGAGCTACCAAAATGGATACCTTCACTCCACAGCCTGGTCAAGCTATTTCTGAAATGGAGCAATTTAAAACATGATCCATTGGTATATCTTCAGGATTTACCCAACCTTGCACATCTTGAACTCCTTCAAGTTTGTGATGGCCACATACTGTGTTTCAAATCTGGAAAGTTCAAGAAGCTTAAGGTTTTAGGTCTTGACAAGTTTGATGAACTCAGACAGGTGAATGTGGAGGAGGGTGCAATGCCTTGCCTGGAAAAGCTTATCATCCAGCGCTGTAGACTGCTAAAGAATGTGCCATCAGGCATACAATACTTGACTAAGCTAAAAGTCCTTGAGTTTTTCGATATGCCTGATGAACTGATCATGACATTATATCCAGATGGAAGAGGGGAAGATCACTGGAAAATAGCACACATACCAGAAGTCTATTTCACCTACTGGAGAGACGGTGGTTGGGATGTTTATACATTAGAGGGTTTCAAAGAGAGTTCTCCTCGATCAGGTATTGTCATGAGAAGCCATGAACATCGCAATCTATGGAAAGTGTGATTGCAGATTGCATTATATACAATTGCTAAGTCTCATATCTGTAAATCACATTGCACAGAAGCCAGATCATCAAATAAAGGTTTATGTTTTAGTTCACCTTCATCTAAGATTTAACAGAAGACTCATTGTATCTGTTATCATAATTCTGCGGAGTGTAATGGACTTGTAAATTCAATGAATAAATCCCATACTTCTTTTTTGTTCTGACTCTGGATGGACTGCACTATAAGCTGACTGGCGATGCAATGATGCATCCATTTATTTTCTTCCCTTGAGTTTGGCGATGTGACTTGATCCTCACAAAACACAGCAAAATTTGCCTTATTAATTTGCAAGAATGAATTTATGTTTTGGATTCAGTTACTGCTAAAGTATAATAAATGATCAAAACTCTAGGTAACACAATTAATAGGTGTCAGGGGCTATACCCTATGAGTGAGGAAGTCAAGACAGAGTCTGGAGGGCCTATTTACCTTCAGATGACAAAACTATTTAAGTATTTCCTACCTTACAGACATCTAAAAATTTTGAAGAATGATTGCACTGTTCTTTACTTCCACAAGATGGTTTCGTCTTTCGTTCTTGACTTTGAAATGCCAACCGTGGCATTCTAATTTCTCTGTCGTGTTGTTTCATTATTTTTTGCTCCTTAATCTTCTACACAAGATGACAAACTAAATCGAAGATGGTCAAAAAGACTGGGTGCAACAAAATTATTATAGAAAACAACTCAGAAATTATGGTTGTCGTGTTAAGCAATTTACTTAATACTAAGGGGGTGCTTGGGAATGCTTAAAAGTGCTTCTAAGAAGCACTTTTCTGTAAAACGAGACAAACTCCTCCACATATTTATTTCGTAAACCGTAAAAGCACTTTTAAAATCATGGTTTGATTTACATCTAAACATCCTCTAAGTTGGACAGCATATTCTCCAAAGGTTCATTAAAGGATCCTTTGATTAGAAGTGGCAGCTTTTCTTTGTTTTTTTTTTTTTTTTTTTTTTTTTTTTTGGTTCTGCTTTTTTCCCGGACCTTGTTTCTTTTTGTTTTCCTTGCTGTTTTGCTGTGTCGTTTCTTGCACTGTATTCCTCTGTCGCTGTTTCTGTTTTGTTTGCTTCTCTCCTTGGAGCTGTGTTTCGTCTCTGAGTAGTAGCATTCTATTGTGAAGCCAAAAAAGAAAAAGGATCCTTTATACTTATAGGAAACAGAATTCTTCTCTAGACCTATTAGCTAATTTGATTTTTATTCAGAAGAACACTCAGATTTTCTTTGATCAATTTGAATAATCTAATCAAGCCTCTATTTAAAGTACAATGATAGTTTCTGCCCCACGACCTTTCTTTAGTAAATTCCATTGTTGGGCTTGGACTCTGTTTTGCCAGCAAAGGAAAATAGGACGTTAACCACGTTACATGCTTGGATAAACAGGTGCATCTCAATTACGCAGTCATTTAAGTTACTTTTTTGTAACAGAAGAAGTCTTACCTTTTTCTTTTCACTCGTGGTTTGGACTTTGTAATTTAGAATATGTAACGTCTTGAGTGAAATGTAGATAAAATATCAACAAATTAAGTCAAACTGAACTAGTCCACAGATCGAACTAACTTATTCTAAACCGAAACCAGAAACCATGTCGTATATGTTGCTAGAAGTCTCGTGATAAGCTCAGACAAGAATTCTTTCATTCACGTAAAGATACCACTGCGGACGACCAAATTATGAACATTGACTAGTCAAAATTTTCTATAGGGCACATTGCAGATTGCAACTACATGTTATCTGCTAATCCATCAAAAATTATAGTGCCCAGTTAGCCAAACCGCTCTGCACCGCTCTTATCGCAGGTCCATATAATATGGATACAAAATTATCAGGGGAGAAACACTACTAGAAGTCATCCCCTAAATATGTGAATACCCTTTTCTTAAAGACACGGCCCAGATCAACGATTTCGGTTTCTCTTGTATGATTTACCATGCTGTTATGTCCCTTCATTGTCCTACATTTCCAGGACAATCTGTTTGCAACATCAATTGTTAAGCTGGCCATATCTCTGGTCCTTGTTAAAACTTGCAAGACGGTGGCAGAGTATGAAGGACTGGACACTAGCCTGTTGAGCAATATTAGTATCTCCCGCATCAGAAATGTCCTGAGAACAAATTGCTCAATTGAGTCAAAGGAAACCAAACGCAGAAATTCTTGGCACTTAAATGTGAAAAATGTGAATCTAATGAAAAGAAAGCCAGGATTTTATCAATATCTTAATCTAAACTTCTCCGGAAGAGTAATAGGAAGCAATAGCATTTTATTCATTTTAAACAAATGCATGAACTTCACAGAACTATAGAAATTAATCTCAGGGAAGGTTAAGTAACATTGAAGATCTTTCCAAGAAAGTAAAAGGAAAATTATCAATGCAAAAGGAGGAGGACAAACAGTTTTCAAGTTTGTATCCGGTTTCCCATCACCTATGATATTATTACCTCTCCCTGAAAATCTCTGGCAGCTCCTCAACAGCTTTAGCTTCTTGATCAACCTGTGATGCCAGTACTTGCAAAATCAGCAACAGATAGTTTGTTCCTCTGGAGAGCCGATGACCGACAAGAATGTCAAAGCCAGCTTTTCCAGACGATGCAAGGAATGCCAGCACAAGAATAGCATTTCGGCGTAGTTTCAACACCTAAAATTACAAGAGCATAAATTTTAAGTTATATTCGGTATTTGATATGACCCAACTCCCAGTGCCACTAGAACATGTAGAGAGGGCCATAGGCGAGGGGCAAAAAGACAGAAAATAAGGATATATTGGTCCAAAGGAAAACGAAGGTTTAGAAGTCAGAAAAAGCAGAAAACAGAGGAGAAAAATAAGGGAATCGCGATGAATGGATGGATGTCAGTGGGATATATAAAAATGAAGCGCAGGGAAGGTTTAAGGCAGAGAAGAAATTTGGAAGTGTGGTTTGGGCGTTTGGGCGGAGTACAAACCTCTTGAAAGTTTGGCAAACCCGTTTTGTTTTAGAGGATTTGTAGTATATGTGTGTGTGACTTGTATCTTCTGTTGGTTATCTGTTGTGTAGTAATCTGAAGCTGTAATCATTATCCTTCCTGTGTCAGTTCCATTTGTGTGTCTGTATATGTATCAGAGTTGTGTTTTATCTCTGAATGTAATTGTATTTTAGCTCTTAATTTTATCTTCGCGTGTCAATCGGTTGTTGATATAGGAAGGGTTCGGAAGTTTTTGGTTAAAGGTCCTATCAGTACTAAAATTCGTCTTAATGTATTTTTTTTCCCCAAATGAAACAAGTGGTCGCATTTTATTAAATAATAAACAAGTATAGCAGTTAATCATCACTATAAATGACTAAACGTATGGGCTGCAACTGCAGTTCCAATCATGCAACCACATGCCAGATATCAATGTGCCCGTACATATCATAGCATAATTTCTCAATAAACCTTATTTCATTGATGCACCCACTCCCCTGAATTCTCATTTCCCACACTCTTCTCTACTAGGTAGCAATCAATGAGCTATGCTGATTGTATCCTAGAAAGAGTAATATAACAGTAAGGTGATTGGTGGCAGCAGAGCTAAAGTATTTTTAAATTTTCTCACCAGAAGCCCCTTGAGCAACCCAGAAGCAAATAAATGATTTTCTCTTTGCCCCTATTTCAGATGCACAGAGACCAAGACCCACGCTCGATACAAGCATTTTTTGGAAAAATAACAAGAAAATTTTTATAATTTGATTATTGATTTGATATATCAAAATAATTCATGGACAAAATGGGCTTCTCAGTGAACAAGCTTACCTGTAATCCACTTCCATGGGATGCAACACAATCTGCCAAACCTTGAAGAATGATATTGAATTTGGGGAACCTGAGGTAGATGTATTGTCATCCATGGCACTAGCGCACTCTCCCTCTTTGCAACCACAACAGAAAGTAACCAGTAGTTTTGGACCTTTAACACAAAATGACTTGTTTGAAAATCATAAGATTGGGTGTATCCACACTAGGAGTTGAAGTTAATTTGCTTTTTTTTTTTTTTTTAAGGGGGTGGGTGCTGAAATAGCTAAGATTTATTGAGATTTGGAAATTTATATAACATCCAAGCTAGTAGTGGGCAAATAATCACTGTGTTTTGTCTCTCTTGATTCAACAAATCAGAACAAGTAAATGACAGGTTTTCATTAAATCACTTTCATTATAATAGCTAAAGAATAGCACAAACAAAATAAAAACTAATGACCCCAAAAAAAGGACACTAGCATCAACCTATGTAGCTTTCCATAATAACAAAGGTGCAAACTTACAATTTAAAAGTAGGTACAAAAGTCTCAGGGCATGCTGTTTCACACGTAACCCAACATCCCTTTTAAGCAACTGTGAAATGGTGTCAAATGCCATTTTCTGTCCGAACCTGTATGGCCACAAATTTCAGGTCCCATTGACATTTTTCATACAATTTCATCAAAACTTTCAGATGATAGTACAACCTCAAAAGCTTACCGCTCCCTATCAATGTAAGCATTACTTCTTAGAAGTATCACATTCATGATGGATACAGCTTCCACTCTCACACTTTCCTCCGTCATCTTCATAGCAATATGATGCATTACTTCAAAAAGATAAACCCAATCTATTTGAGGCTGCAAGGAACTCCGATGGTTCAAACACCTTCTTTTGCTCAGCATTCCTACATCAAACAATTCTGGCTGGAGCTGATCGCACCCTGCATGAGATGTCTCATTGGTGTGCATATAAGAGTTTTTTTCATCTTTCGCAAGTTCAGGTCCACAAGAATCAACAATATTGTTCTCCAAGCAAACTCCCTCAACAAGCACATTGTCCCTGAGTAAAGTGCACTGGAAAGATCAAATCAAAAGTTCATAAGAACAGGAATTAAACAAAAACGAAGGGAAAAAATGAGTGACTAAACAAGACATAAAGCCCATGCACTAGCTTATAACCAACCCTAGACTCCCTTTCCCTAGTTTCCTTTTCTTTTTTAGGGGAAGAAGACAAAAAGAATAAGACACTAGCTTACAGAAAAGAAATTTGTGTTGATTACGTAAATGTCAAATCAAAGGAAAATGAATTGTTAATCAGTTGGGTTCAGCAGTGTTTTTGGCAAGCAGCATGACTAAATCTAAAAAGATCTTAACAAATTAACATCTCACTAGATTAAGGGTGCTTTTTGTCCAAAATTTGAGATGAGCTGCACCATTTATAGCTTATGTATAGTGCATGTTCATATAAATTTTATATTTTACAGAGAATACATAGATATGTAGATTCCCCCTCAAAACTTTTAAATCATCGTCTTTAAGTTTCTGTAAACACCAAGTAAAATAAATTATAATTATCATGATACAGATAAAGAAAAAAGTGATTAATTGAAACTGTAACCTTATGATGATATGCAAAAGCAATGCAATTTTAATAAAAGCAACAGAACAAATAACCCAAAATGAGGCATACCTTCTTACGGAGTAATTTTCCAATTCCAGTAGGAGTTTCAGATAAGTATGCAGTATGCATAGAGAGCTATGGACAACAACAACCTGTGGTGAAAGCAATAAATTTGTCAAAGTCTATACATTGAGGAGAAAATAAGAGGAAAAGAACACCTATTAAAATACAAAAACAGTTAACTTAAGAAACCAACGTGGTAATGTAATCAAGCATAACCAAAGGACTTGTCAATTCTGAGCTTGTGAACAAGAGGAAATTTTAACATTTATTCACAATCCAGTCTAGAAATACTTACATTTTTAACACTACAAAGGTCAAGTAATGGTTCAAACAAAGTTTCCAACACAGCTGTCCCTTCAGTTATCTGCAATACAAATCAACAATTGGATTAGAACCAACAACCATACTTGTTGCGATAAACATGTTTAATGTGAGCGAATCCATGACATGTATAAATAACTCAGTGGTTGAGCTCTTAAACGTCCAAGCATCTTGAAACCAAATCAATGATCTGGAATAAAAATGATATTCTAAGCATTGGGAAACCGAAAACCGTCTACAATTTCAAGCCATTGATTATGCACTAGTTTTCGTGCCCAAAAAAAGCGCAGTCAAACCTAATGAACAGCACCTACTGTTAAGGGAAGCTTTGACACTATAAGACCACCATTTGTGATAGTGACTTAGTTGAAACATGAATTTAAATATTCATGTAAAAGGCATTAAAAAAGGTAAGGCATAAACCAATGCCAAAGTCTAGTATCAACTTCAGACCAGCCCAATCCGTAGAAAATCCCATACGCCAGCACTAATCTCCATCTAAATTCTCATATTGGCATTTCTCAATAGCATGTGACATTCACATTTATAGGGGTTCAATTGAAATTTATCTGCAATTATAATGTGTAGAACATAGTGCTTTCTATGTATGTATGAGTTAAATTCAGTGATGATGAACTCATTGAATTAATTACCGATCACAAAAATCCCCTCTTTCATTCTAAACTATCACAATGCCAAGAACCCAAATTCAAAACTCACAATTTGGAGATCAAACCATTAAAGAAATACTGATGAACAGCAAGTTCTAGACTCACATCATTTTTCAAACAAACTACTTCTGCAGTATAAAAAACCTCCATTTGAAAAAATGCATGACCATGTGAGATAAAGTATAAACTGCTGCTTTAGAAAAATGCACAAACACAAAGTTGACCAGCTACCTTTGTCAACATATGGTAGAGTTGTGACACTTTTATTGCTTCTGGAGTATGAAAACAGTCCTTCATATACTGCAATGCTACTCCAGAAGAACTTATATCTGTAAGAAATTTGGTTGTTATTTTAGAGGGTAGATTTATGGGCATCAACCCAAAAAGAATATGAAAATCTCGTTGACAGCCCACAAGCAATTTGGATGTCACGTTGCTTCCTAGCTTTTGTTCACCCGATGAGCCCCAAATTGCCAGCAACTTCTCAGAAAGTTCAAGACAAGCCGGCACATCATCATTCAGAATATTTTGAGCTTCCTTCTGAGTGTCTATGTCTGTCTGAACTCCTGTAGCTTTATAATTAGACCCAGCTACCACCAAAAAAACAAAATATAAATAAATAAATCATGACAAGGCCATGTCAGAAACTAACAAAAAACGTCATCTGAAAGGGAAGGAGGGACTCTTCTCATGCCTTACCAGCCTGCACTTTTGAAGGTTGTCTATTGTGAATTTTTTGAGAGATGCCATGACGATCTGAAGCAAGATTTCTCCATTCCCTGCCATCATGATCATTAGAATTTGTACAGATGCTACAAGAAAACATATTAACACAAATATTAATAATTACAGGTCATTCTTGACAGGTCACTCATCTTTTCAAGGACTAAATTCAGTCTGAACTAATAAATAAGTCAACTCATGCATTCATTTTAAAATCTAAAGTGGTCTCTTATTTTAAAGAGCATTCATTAAAATACAACTTTTGGTGGCTATCTATAATAAGTTCCACACGCTTTCACGTTAGATCATCAATATATGACACAAACCTACAAATGAATATCCCCCAGTCGTCAGAGGAAAACTAGAAAGTATGTCATAACTCATTATTTTAAGCTTCAACTAAAAGATTACTGACTGACAAGCTGGCTATTCCTTTCCAACAGTTTCCTATTCAGTAACCAGAACTGCAGGATAGGAACATTAGTAGATAAAGATTAGAAAGGAAACCATATGTTTGACTCACATGTTTATACTCTTTGACTGGTTCGCATATTCATTTTCTTCTTCATTCTTTGAAGCCACAAACTTGAGCTGCTCATCTTTCTTTTCTCTTTGTTTCTTTAATTCAAGACACTCCTTTTCCTGAAGGTGTATAGTTATTTACGGAATCCAAACATCTTACTGAGTTAGAGATCCTTAAACCATCTGTAAAAGTACAGTGGGAAAAAAGAAAAGAATGTTGCATCAGCAAATAAAAACAGTGAATTTATATTGATACGCCAACATACCAGGAGAGCAAGCTGCTTCGATGCTTGTCCAAGCTCCCTCTGATTTTACCATCAACCAATTAGCACAAATGATTCAGTGTAAGAAAAGCTTGAGTGAATTTTAACAAATCGAAGTGATTGACCTAATCTAAAGGTGTATGTAGTATGGAATGGTTCCTTTTCCTTCCTTTGTCATAGGCAAATTGCCAAAAATAAAACTAAGACATAAAAAATGATCAGAAATAGAAGCTCTTTCCAAGCCAACTATTCAGGCAATGTTCATTCAAATGTTTTCTGGTGGAGACTGCGGTCTGAAAAAGAAGATGACTTAGACTTACAGAGAGCCATGAAACATATTTAACTGGCTTTCTCAGGCTTCCTAAGGCTAATGGTTAATACAAACAGTAACGAGGGACCGCGTGCAAGAACCGCCACCATGAGACCCACCAATAAGTAGAATTCAACAACATATACAATCAACAACTCATTATCATCCATGCACAAGTTCCCTGATTGTGCACGCGATACAACAATTCGTTCAAAGCCAATACATCAGTTTGTTTGTTACCCAAGGACAAAGCAAGCCTCACCTTTAACCGCTCGATTTCATCATCTTTGTCTTTATCGGGTCGTCGTGCAATCGGAGCAACCGCAAGAGAAGGGCATTTTGCAGGGCGACTCGGAGAGTGTTGAAAAGAATCAAAATCCGTGCTCCTTTGAGAGAGCTCTCGTGGGGGCGAGTAACTAACATCATTATAGGAGGAAGAAGCCGCGAAAGAATGCGGCGGTTGTTGGAGGTGGTGGCGGCGTGATTGAGGCGGTTGTGAAGGGGCGTGCGAAGTGAATGAAGAGGTCGGAGGAGGCGGAGGAGGAGGATTATGGGAATGAGGAGGATTGGAACTTGGTTTTGCAATAGAAGAGAGAGCAAGTTCTTCCACCTGGATTAATTGGTCCAAGAAAGCGTCTTCCCAATCTTCGAATACGTCTTCACTCTCATCCATCATCTTCGTCTTTGCTCGATTTTTCGAAGTTCACTTCGCGGCCTCGGAGCAGTGAGGGCATATGGTGAAGTTTCGGCCCTTCCTAGTTTGCACTGTCCCTGTCTTTCGAATTCTTTTCTTAAAAAAGTCTATTTTAATTGTATTCTTTTATGGGCCTGCGACTTCTAAATTACACCCTCTTCGCCCTTAAGTTACACATTTTTTGTGAAGGCATCGTATGTTGTCGTGACCTTCTAATAAGTTCTCAGGAATCAATGGGACTGCCATTTCTCACTGTGTTCTAAAGCTGAACTTTTTTAAATTCACAACTCTGAATTAAGACCTATTTGGATTGAAATAGCTTATAAATATACAAAAAGAGTTATCTCAACTTACATAAAACGTGTTTATAATCGTGATTCCAAATAAAACGTTAATAGATACAAGATACAAGTCATTATTGTCTGCTTATAACCTAGTAGGAAATTTGTCATTATTTTAGGATTTTTCTCACATATCTATTAAAGTCGTGTCTTTAGCTTCTTTTCTTAGCTTCTTTAGCAATTCTATTTGCACTTTAATTTAGTGTACTATGTAAAACTCTTAACTTCTTAATATTATTTGGTCTTATTCCCAAAAAAAGTTGCAACATTTTTATTATATATTTTTCATCCTAAATTTGTTTTTATCTTAAATATAATACCTCAACTTATATTATCTTTTAAGTTTATACTCCTCCGATTCTAAATATAATACCTCAACTTGTATTATCTTTTAAGTTTATACTCTTCCGATTCTAAATATAATACTCATTTTATAATATGATTTACACTATAAAATGAATTTTATGTTTAGGACTAGAAAAAAAAAATTTAATTCTCTCTATTTATTAAACATATTAAGCAAATTTTAATTTTTAATGCAAATAATTAAAGATATATTATAAGTAAAATCAACCTACATTTTTATTAATAGCTGGATTATTTTTTTAATTTTTATAAATTAGTTATCTAACTTTTAGATCTAAAACCATTATATTAAATTAAAATTAAAATCTAGTCAAATCATCCGGTGACGTTGTAAACTGTAATATACTGGTTCAAGTAAAACGGGTAGTGTGGATTTGCACCAGTTTGCACATTTTTTATGAGAAATCAAATCATATAACACCTCTGTTTGTTAATATCAAGGTTAAATAATTAACGAGTGGATATTAAAAAAAATTAAATTAGTTATTTATAATAAATTAGTATTTTTTTTTTTTAAATTCTTACTAAACATATTGAAACGACATTTTAATGAAAAGCCCCATGAGAATTATTTAGAGATAAAAATAGATAAATATGAGAAACTATTATATTTAAGATCAAATTAATTCTACAATTAGTCTTATATTAAGGTGGTATTATTAAACTATGAAAAATAATTTTACAGAGCTGGGCAACTGGCGATTAGGACTTTGATGTCTTCCTACAAGATTGTGTTGGTAAATCCAGAACCAAGGGGAATTACGAAAACATCAGAAACAACATGCTATGATGCAACGGCGAAAATCAACGCATTTATGATAACAAGTCGTTGTATTCGCAGGATATCCATCTTGACAAGGATGTCCAGTGATAAGTGTTAGGAAAATCAATGCATTTTTTATAATGAGCACTAAATCTGTGAATATTTTTTAAAAAAATAGATGAATTAGTTATTTGAAATAAATTTGTATTAATTTTTCTTAAATACATTATTTAATCATGTACATTAAAACTATTCTCTATGAAAACCTCCTTCATATGGGTAATAACTTGAAATACTTTGGAAGAAATTATAAAATTAAAAGATAAAGTGAATTGAAACCGTTTACTACTTCTTGTCCTTAATATAAGAGTTAGATAGGAATTGTGTTTGGTCAAAATATAATATTTCAATACACTTTGTCTTATGCTTTTCTCAAAATATCTATATTGATTGTAGAAGATTTCTACTAAGAGATAATTTTAATCAATGTATATGATTGAATATGATAGTTTAAAAAGATCAACACATATTTATGACAAGTAACTAACTTAAATAATTTTCTTAATATCATCATATTAATTATCTAGTTATTATATTAAGAATTGAGAATAGCATCTAAAATTAAAATGGAAATAATAGTTGTATCCATAAACCATTCGTCTTGATAGGGGACTGACATGTCCTGTGATACAAAACGGAGTCTATTTTGGAGTTCTTGTTAAAATCTTTTGAAGTTGAAAGATCAAGATCCAACAAGCAGGATACGAAGAATAAACGAAGTTTTCTCCCTCGGATAGCACGGGCATGAGAGCCGTCCCCCCCCCCCCCTTTTTTTTTTTGGACTGCGAGGAATTGCATGATTCTCACAGATAGCATTCCTTATCATCACTTGACATGACTCAGTACTACAAAATGAATTGGGTTAATATAATTTTTTGTGCTCTAAATTTTTCATCTTGTTTTGGTTTCTTAAATTTCTTTTTATTTATAATATTAATTCTTATAATTTAATAAAAATTTAGACTATTTTTCTCCTTGAGAGACCAAAACTTATGGTTTGAAATTTAAAAAATCAAAACCAAAATAAGGGACAAACTTGAGAGACCAAAAATTATACTCCTCCGGTCCTAATTATAAGACCCAATTGACTTATTTGAGGAGATTAAGGAAGGAAGTTAAGTTGGTTATTTATAATAAATAAGTGTTGTGATTCCTAAAATATCCTTGCTAATTAAGTACTCCTCCGGTCCTTATTATAAGACCCAATTTGACTTTTTATTTGGTCCTAATTATAAGACCCAATCCATTTTCTCTTTTATATTTATGCATTTTTTTCCAAGATAATCTTTCTAATAATGATAGTTTTAGCCAATATACTTAATTAGCAAGGATATTTTAGGAATAACAACACTTATTTATTATAAATAACCAACTTAACTTACTTCCTTAATCTCCTCAAATAAGTCAATTGGGTCTTATAATTAGGACCGGAGGAGTATATTGGCTAAAACTATCATTATTAGAAGGATTATCTTGGAAAAAAATACATAAATATAATAGAAAAAATGGATTGGGTCTTATAATTAGGACCAAATAAAAAGTCAAATTGGGTCTTATAATAAGGACCGGAGGAGTATTAAGCAAATATATTTGATTTTATGAAAACAACTATAAGGAGTCAAAATGATAGAAACCAATAGAGATGAGAGAAATGTGGTAATCCTATAAGTAATCCAGTTAGTAATGGAGACTCCAAAACCAAGTTTGAGAGCAAGTGATGAGCCAACCCAACAAGCACGCCAAATAATTACTCTTATAGTCCTAAATGCAAAACATATTTTGTAAAATTGTAATATAATTTGTACTACAAATGGGTCTTACAATCAGAACTAGAAAGTGTATATATATCCATTAATATTAATATAGACTATAGCTTCATCTCTTCTCTTTATTCTACATTCGGTTCTTAATATAATAGCTAGTTTGACTTTTAACTTAGTCCTAAATATAAGACCTCAATCCACTTTGTCTCCAATATTTATCTATCTTGGCTTCAAGTAATTCCTATATTAGTCGCATGCGTTAGGAAGTTAGTATCAACAGGTAATTCAAACATTCATGATTAATAAGAATATTTTAGGAAAAATAACATTGGTTTACTATAAATAACTAACTTAACTAACTTTTTTAATCTTCTCAAATTAGTCAACTAAGTCTTATTAGGGACCAGAGGTAGTATTATATTTTCAATAATATCAACGTAGATTGTTGCCAAAGTATAATTATGACTAAGGTGATAGCTTCATGTATCATATACAGATCATATTTTATTATGGGATCTATGTGTTACATTGAGTGATTAAAAATAACTTAAATTAATTTGTTATTTTAATTTTAGCCGATTTATACTTTTGTTATGTAATCTGAAATTGATGATTAAGCACTTATAGTTTTGAAGTTTTTGCTAATGCCTTGACTTTAAGATGCTGTCGACTATTGAAAAGAATGAGATTTTGATTCCCTATAATATTTACTATAGTATTTTGTAATTTGTAATTATATCCAGCGTTTTTATGTTATTCGTAATTATTTTGAAGCAACAGCATAAGGATCGATTTTTTTCTTGTCTAAAAATAACTTGTTTCATTTTTCACAGAGCCTTAGGCATCTGCATTGATGGCATTAAGGGCATTACATCTTGTTCTTCATCGTGCAATAAAAAGAGATATAAAAAGAAAAAATTATTATGAGATTTAAAAATAAGAATATACTTACAAAAATGTCTCAATAATAAATAAGCTGTATGAAACTTCTTGTCGTTTTTTATCCTATAACTTATCATTCACTGGTCATGAGACTTCTTATTTATTTTTTAGTATCATACAGTAATTTTTCCTATATAAAAAAGCATATATATTAAATATATTCGTTAATAATTATTAGTTGTATGAAATAATTTTACCTTTTTAAAAAAAATTCCTAAAATAAGTTAGATGGGTGATAAGATCTTCCCAGACAATGAGTGATGGATCATAATGAGCAACCTGGGGCAGGAAGGCGAACGTTTGGTGGAATTGATTACAAAGACCTAAAATCTTGTGAACCAAATTTAAAGGGATGGGTCCAAAAGTAGTACGAGAAATGAGAATATAAATAATAAGTGCAGTGGCAGTGATTAGCTGTATTAATTCATGCTTTTATTTAAAAAAAAAAATCATGCTTAACACAATAGGTGGCCATATATTCTCATTGCCCTTTTCAAGACAGACAGCCTATATTTAATTATGAGAGCGACTGGCATTAATTTATATATATGGGGGAAGTTAATTTTTTTTATTTGTACAGTTTGGGCATAATTAATTTGGAAGTGCTTATAATTTTATTCAATTTTAAATTAAGTCTTTGAGTTTTTTTCCCTTTTTATCAGGCCCTTTAAGTTGGTTCTGTTAAATTTGTTAACTCCTGCTGTTAAATAAAAAGCAACACTGTTAAAACTTCCGTTAAAAAACATGGCAATCGTCTTCCGCATCTAAAATAACTCCTTCTATCTCCTTCCCCGGTAGCCTTTTCTCTCCTTTCTCTGCATTTGCCTATCTTGTTAAGTTGATCCCTTATCACACCCCAACACATACACATATATATTAATACCCCATAGTCCCCCTTGTCATGTCCCCAGCTCTCTATTTTTTCTTTTCTCTTTTCTATCTCTCTTATCTTCCCCTCCACTGCTTAGCTTTCTTGACATTACCTCAAAAGCTAGCAATGACTTCTTCTTGCTTGATGAAACAAAATGTTGGCCAAGTGACCTTTCTCTCTCAACTTTAAATTTGCCATTTTTGATGAGGTGATTCCACCTCTGGCTACCTTTGTTCAACTCTGCCTTCCAAAATCTTGAAGATTTCTGACACATTTGGTTGAAGGCTAGGATGTGATTGAGTACATTGTAAAGACGCAAGATTTTTGACCTGTAGGGGTTCAACTTGTTGCTAATTAAAAATTGGCCAACGTGATAAAAGTATTAAGAATGATAGAGTAGTTCATCGGTAAAAGTTATCTTACAGAGAAAACTGAAGCAAATTATCAGCTTAGCTTTTATTATATGGAACAAGTAAAAATTGATTGATAAGAGGTGACACGGCCGAAGGGGAGGAATGTTTAAATTCGAGTGAGAAGGATGTTATCAGAAGAAATCAGCGTAATATGGCGGACAAATGCAAAGAGAGAATAGAAGTTATGGGGAAAGGAGATAGAAGGAGTTGTTTCAGATAGAAAAGACGCTTGCGATACTTTCTAATGGAAGTTTTAACAATTTTCTTTTTTATTTAACAACAGGGATTAAAGCATTTAACAAAACAAATTTAAAGGACCCAATAAAAAAAAAGTTCAAGGACTTGATTTCAAATTGAATAAAACTATAAGGACCTCTAAATTAATTATCCCTATAATTTTTAATTCAGTTTAAGCTTGTAGCTCGATTTCTAAGAGTCTATTTGGTACGAAGGACCTTCCTTTCGAATTCCTTGCATTTACCTCGTACCAAACATGAGGTAAATTTTGACTTGGTAACTAAATTCTTATAATTTTGCCTCAGTACTCAAACTATAATTTAGCGCTTATAATTTTTCTTATTTAAAACCTCTCATACACTTCTTGAAATATATAATCTTATTTTCTAAAAATATGATGACCAATATTTTAAATTATTAAAACTATAAGGATTGTGTAATATTGGAGTTAAAGTTTAGTGACTAAATGGTACTACCTCCGGTTCAAAATATAAACTAAATTTTTTTAAAAGAATTCTCTTTTTTTATTAGATAACATTCACTTTTATTCAAGTATTTAATGAGTTTTTTTTTTAATTTTATCCCAATATATTCTCTTTTCTTTTTAATTTATTCATTGCATCTTTCACTTATATTAGGAAAAACAAATATATGCCTAACACATTTATTGTTTTAAATTGATTTTAAATAGTTTCTTGATAAACGTAAATAGATAAAGTTTGGTTTACATTTTGAACCGGAGGGAGTAACTAACTAAAAATTATAAATATTAAGTTGTAATGAATCAAAATTTAGAGATTGAGTTATAACTGATTCAAAATTGTAAGGGTTTAATAAATTAATTTTTCCTATATATAAATTTTAGGTTAAAAATTTATATCATTTATATAATATTAAAAAATTTGAAAATTTGGAGCTAGGACCAATGGTTATTCTCATTTTCAAGGTTTTCTTTAATAGAAAATATAATATTCCTACGGTCCTTAATATAGGACCCAATTATTGAGTTGCTTTTGGTCCTAAATATAAGACCCATTTCTCATATTTATTAATTTTCTCTAAATTACCCCTGTAAATACTCCCTTAACCATAATCAAATAAAAGAGGGAGAGGGGTATTAAGAAATATGATTATGGTGTTTTAGGAAAAACGTGTCACATTTTTTATAATTAACTAACTTACCTAACTTCCTTAATCTAATCAAATTAGTTAAATGGGTCTTATATTAAGGACCGGAGGAGTACTTTAAAATAATTATCTCAAAAACAGTTTTTTTTTTTCATTCACACGATTGTAGTCCCTTTTTTTTAAAACTAAAAACAATGCTGGTCCCATGAATTGGTTGGTTCTCTCAAGAGAATGTTTGGGCAAATCAAATTATAGTTTTAAAAATAATTTTATGATATATAAAGTAAATATATAGACGGGTTTATCTTAATTTGCAAAAAATATTTTTTAAAAGTACTTTCAAGTGTTTTGAAACACCCCCGAATGAAATAGTACCATTTGAAGCTTCCTAGTTTATTACCCATATATTATCACAGGAAAAAAACATTAAGATACCCTCAAAAATACTAAAGAACAAGTGAGGGTGGGTAAATTTTAAAATTTAAAATCAGACTCTAAATATTATTTTTAAAATATTATGAAATGACAACACTATAGCTATTGACTGCACAACAGTAATAAATAACTAAATAAGAAGTAGTTACTAGATCTCTAACAATATTTAATATATTTTTTGAACTTTTGAAACATAAGTAGTTAATAATGAAACTAGAGTAGTTAATAGCTAAAAAAAGTAGTCATCAAAATTTTAAAAATGAAAGTAGTGAATCGCAATATTAGAATAGTCAGTAGCTAAATAAGAATAGTCATCATAGTTTTAAAAACAAATGTAATCAATAACTAAAAAAAAAATCAATACATAAGAAAGAGTGGTCATCAGAACTCCGAGAGCTGGAATTACTGAGGTGACAGTATTTTAAAAAATAGTAAAATACATTTTTGTAATTTATAAGATTTAAAAATTCTAAAATAATATATGAGGTTTAAATTTTTTTTTTTTGGCCAGAATGTGAGGTTTAAATTGAAATTTTAAAATTCACCTACACTCATTTGTCTTTTACTCCTCTGACCCTTAATATAGGACCCAATTGTTGAGTTAGTTTTTGTTCTAAATATAAGACCCATTTCTTATATTTATCAATTTTCTTTAAATTACCCTAATAGATATTCCCTCAACCATAATCAAGTAAGAGAGGAAGAAAGGGTGTTAAAAAATATAATTATGGTATTTTAAGAAAAACGTGTTATATTTCTTATAATTAATTAACTTACCTAACTTCCTTAATTTAATCAAATTAGTTAAATAAGTCTTATATTAATAACCGGAGGAATAGTATTTTTGAGGATGTTTTAGTTTTTTTTTCCCCTAATTATCACGCCAATGCACAGATCGAACATTAATTTATCAGAAAAATCATTTGACAAATGTAATTTTTTTGGGGAATATCGACATGTACAAATTTCATTTGCTTTCACCTCAGAATTGGTCACCACGATTGGGCGAAGGCGCGTAAATTCTTGTATGAAATGTGCTGCAGCAGCTGGACAGGGGAAAGGGCTGATATTCTCTCCGATGCTTTGAATTTTCTATTCTATTTTCTATGCTTAAGGCTTAGACTTACCCATCCAAATTAAAATCTCGCATGGATTCTCTTCATCCTTCCCCGAGTCCTTTTCCTTGTAATTCACAGCTTTTTGGTACTGATTCCCAAGCATTATGACTTCAAAGAAACACGGGGAATCCCGCTCACCAAACCCACGACGCCAAGCAAACGACTTATAGCTACAGTACTCTTTGTTCGTCTTTCTCAATACTTTGTCCCTCGGGATACATAAAGCTGGGTAGATCAGGACTCAGAATCGGGGGCGATTTCGGTTTATCCATGGTAAACAAGTCTTCGAGTGCTGGGAGGTAGCCAGATCATAGAATAACGAGAAACCCCCCCGGGCGCTTCTTTCTTGTGCGTATTGGATTTTGAGCTGAAAAATATGGTGGGTATATTTTCAAGATTTACTGTTGGAAGGAATGCCCATCGACGGACGCAAAGCGCTCTTGTAAGACTCTTCTCCCTTTGAAGAAATTTTTGTTGTTTGGCTTGGTTTGTGTTTGAATTTGTGTCATGATCATCCTTCTTTGGAATTGAACTGGCTTATGAAAAATTATGACTGTTAATCCCCATTTAGTTTCATTTATGTTTTATGAACTTTAGAAGGAACGGTTTGCTGCGCTTGTTTGAGCCTCTTGTGTTGTATTGAATCCAAAATCCTTCTCTTTCTATTTTAAAGTTATGTTGCCCTACAAATTCCTTGCTCTTGAGATTTCCAAGTGAGAAAAATGAGAGGTGCTGGCTAGATAGAGGTTTAGACTATCTTATACCTTTGGATTTAGACATTTACTTGTTTGATGGCTTAGATGCTGATACAATCTTATTTTGCTATATGCCTGGTCAAAATTCATGCAGGATGAGAGAGAATCGTTACCTCCGAATTCTGAAGGTGCCACTGCCCAGAGTGCCGTCACAACCACTTCTCATGGAATTGAAGTAGCAGTAGAGTTTAAGCCTGTTGAACACCCGACTGAGCCTCTTGACCATGATAGACCAGTTCAGTGCCCGTTGCCAGAACCTTCAATTATCAATGTAAGATAAATATCGAATTTTCTTCTTTGTGCCGGACTCTTCCTTACTTTAATTTATACAGTCTTTGTGATTTTAGAAGCGATTAAGTTATCTAGGCTGCAATTTCATGAGTGAGTTGATTAAAGGAACAAGCAATTTTAATCTTGGGTATGGTAACCGAAGGGAGTTCATCTCTTGCCCGGCACAGATTTCGTTTTGCGACCTTCGTTAGAAGCCGTCGTGATATCTGCACATTACTGAGTTTCATGCTTGTATTTGATGCATGCTATTCCGTTATTTATGAGGATACCTATTTGTTTGAACATTAAACTCTTTGGTCATTGTATGCATAAAGAAATCTGTAATGTGGGTGCAATAATTTTCAAGAGATAGAAGATATTATCTTGGCAAGCCTGCTTAGAGCTTCGAGTTGTTGATATTTGGAAAGTCAGAAAACATTTTCGTAAGAACCAATGAAAATATTTCTAAGATCATTATACTTGGAAAGTCAGAAAACATTTTCATAAGAACCAATGAAAAAATTTCCAAGATCATTTGTAACCAACAATTTGCTGCTACTCTCTTTAATTCACCTGTATTCAAGTTTATGGCATGCTTTTGTGGGTTCATATCATGTGGGAGAGAATTTGGGGATTAAAACAAAAATATGTTGTACACTTAGTCCCTATTAATGAATTGAACCATTCAAGCCAAGCACATTGTCCAAAAGCACGTTTGAAAAACAATGGAGCTGGTCACCTCATGCATGCGTTTGTGGGTTTCTTTTGTTTTTTCCCCACTTTTTCTTTCCTGGGAACAAAATTTGGTTTAAGAATTTTGAAATCTAGTTCTTCTTCATCAATCCTCAGGATGGAAGAATATGGAAAGACAGAGCATCTGCAACAATGCATAGAAGATCTGACGTGGCAATGATGAAGGATGGAGGAACCCTTGAATCCAATGGTGCAGGGTCAAAGCCACGGACAACTCATTCTAACAGAACGATTCTGCCATCTCTCAGTGCCCCAGAACATAATATCTTGAACCTTCTTGAAGAATGTAACGCATCAGGGATGTAAACTGGTATTGTTTTTAATATGGGATTCTGTTCTCAACTTTCATAAGTTGGATTGTGTTCCTTCAGTAGCGTTTATTCTTAATGCCTAATTCATTTTGCTTGGGGCAGTGAAGATTGAGAATTGTTGATGATTCAAGCCATCATACATTTTTTGTCACAGTTTTTAAGGCCTCCTTTAATAAACGCACCCTATTGCTTTACATTTGAGAAATGTAGCATGAAGCTATTCATGCAGTCTAACACATCGCATCAACTCATTCCTTTCATTACCATCTCTGTTACTCTTATTATTGTATCTAAAACTAGCTTTTAATCGTTCTATGGCCGGTGAAATCATCACTTGAACTGGTTGAAACAATGATTGTCAGATGCAGAATTGCCAATCAATTATAGAAGAATTAGAAAATATCTGCTCCTCTGGTCCTTAAAGTAGGACTTATTTAATTAATTTGATCAGATGAAGAAAGTTAATTAAATTAGTTAATTATAATGAATATGACATGGTTTCCCTACATTAAGGATCAGGGGAGTATTTGAACATGGTCTGAATTCTCTGGCTGTCATGGTATTTCAACAGAACATCACAGTTTCTTTTCTTCAAATCAAAGGTTTCATTGTAACAGAGCTGGAGCATTTTTGTGGTGGCATGGATTTCATTATTTGAGCAATAAGTTTCAATATTTACATCTAGAAGTAATTTGAAATCTTCAGAACCGACCCTTATCAAATGTTGCTGCATAACCATGTGGTTGAGAATCCAGGAATTTTCCTTTGCCTTGATTCTGTGCATGTATGCAACTTTCATTTGATTTGAAAATTATTATTTTTTCTTTTCTTTCCTCTTACTACTGGCAGTACATTGAACTTTTCTAAGGCATAACTTTTGCATGCACCCGCAACCAGCTGTGCTTTGCTTGACCGGATAACTTATTTATATTGGGGGGGGGGGGGGGAAGCGGAGTACAATGCATATGTATTTGGTATCAAATTCTTCAATAAGATTGCGACATATGTATTTTACGTTACAATCCATATCTCGTAATTGAGACAAAACTAATGTATTCATCATCAATGGGCATGGTTTGCATGGAAAGAAAAATGGCAAGAAACATTCTGGTTGGTAAGGAAGTTTATTATGCAGGAAACTAGTTTTTCTTAAAATGATGGCATTCTTCTAACCAACAATTATGATTTATGATTTATGATTTATGAACAGTAATGTGACAGCAAAATTTTAAATTCTCATGTTCTTTTTTAGATTTTATAATGAATATTAATATATTTAAGTGTATTGAAGCCACGTTTCCTTTGTCATTCTCATCAGTTATCATCATTATTGAAATGTGTTGACAACGTTTTGCCAGCACGCTTCTAATCAGTCATGAAAACAACAGCTTCTGGTTACTAAAATCTTAAGCGAAAGGCTTCTCAAGATGCTATTGTCTATGGTCCCCCCAAAGCGTAGAAATTATTAAAGTGCGTTTTTGTCTCTTCCAATGAAGTATTTTCTATGCACATGTTCTGATTCAAATCCTGAGCATCATGTTTGAAGGCCCAGCCATCTACTAACTGTGGCGAGCTTTGATAGTTATTAACTAGGTATTTTTATCATTAGTAAGAGCTAAGAAGTCATTAGAACATGAATTGTCGGAACTTTCAAAAGCTTGAGCTGTTATATGCCTGTCTGATGGAAAGCCACAACTGTAAATTCTCGAGTAATAATTGCACACTGAGGACAAAAGAACAGTTGACCGATACCATAAGAAGCAAAGTTCACTACAGCCATGATAGTATAACTGATATAATAGTAACGGAGAGGAAGTTGGGTTATTGAAAAAGGAAAAGCTAGAAGGACACTGACATTGAACGAACTCAGTTTCTGGAAATTACTGAGACTTGTAAAAGAAATGGGTATGAACAAAGATTGAAACTTTATTCATTCTAATCCCAGGAAAGCAACCCCAGAGAAGAAACAGACACTGTGACAGAAGAAAAAAGGAGGGAAAAAAAAAGCTATACAGGAAATTCACGAGCCTGAAATGGATTCTCTAGAGTTGGATTCACAAGTTGTTTCTTAGGGCCACGAGAGCTTCCATGGTTCATCCATGTCTTCCTCTGCCATCTCCGATGACGCACTTCGCCGGCATGATTATTTCCGTGAGTTCCCACCGCTGATACCGATGAAGCCGATGCTAAGAGGAAAAGAAGAAGCAGCCATGTGAGCAAGGCTCTCACTCGTTGAACCATTTTGCTTTTCGGTAATAAGTTGCTGGCTTTCTTTTCTTTTCTTGTGCTGTGGCTGTTGGGGAGAGAGGAGATGGATTAATATAAAGTTACTAGATGGACTACTTTGCTTTGTTTTGAAGTCACAGGTTAAATCATTTGGTACACTTGATGTATTAATGGCCTCCTCAAACTATTTGTGGATTGGTTTGGGTTTTGCCCTGGTGGGTTCACTGATTGCCACTCATTGTGATGCTCGAAGTCAGAGTGGACCTTTATAAGAAAACATTCACTTTATTTATGTCATTATCCCAATTATGCTCACATTACTTCAATCCAATATGATTGGTTTTCTTGATACTTTTAGCAATTTTTCCTATGCCTAATTCTGATATATTTTTATTATTGACTTTAATTTGTTCATGAGTATAATTCACAGACGATTCTGAAAAATTGTGGTTTATAATATATGATGGATTCAAGGGGCAAGTAAGGAATCATTAGAAATAAATGTCTGATGTTTGTTATGTTATTTCACATGCAAGCTTGACAAACACAATGCCTCAAATTGAGATAAAGGTTAAAGAAGACGAAGCAGGGGGGAAAAAAAAAGTGAAAGCATAAAGGAAACCAACAAACACCCTGTTAAAAGAAAATACCTATGGTTGGTTTCTTTGGGTGAAAATGACCTCACAAAACACATATTAGTTGAGAGTGGATCATTTGAAATAAAATAATGATAAAGTTGAGTGAATAGTGACAAGAGTATTAATTATGGATGGATTTGGTCGGAAAAAATATTGAAATAATTTCATTTTTAGCAGAAAAATTATAAAACAAAAAAAATTATATTTTACTTCAATGCGGAATTTCATTTCAATAATTTGTATATGCATGCATGATTAAAAAATATGAAATAGAGATGGAAATTTAAATAACAGATGAAGATATTGTGGAAGGAAAATGGATGCAGGTTAGTGATACAAGTAAATTTTAAGAATTGACCAGATGCATAATCCATAAATTTTTTTTTAAAAAAAATATATTGAATATTGACCCATGAAGAGTAAAACTACAGTAACATTATAACTTAATTATATTGGTGTGAAGCTAAATTGTGGGCTCATAACTTTGCACAGTGTTTGAAATTAAAAGGAATTAAACTATTACGTATTAATAATGATTCATGAATCATTATGTTGAGAGAAATATTTTAATTGAGCTTGAAAATATTCAAATATAATTTACTAGTAATGAATAAAGAATTAAAAATAATTTTTATAAAATATTTAATTAAAAATAATTTTGTGCCCAAAATAAAATTTTGACATTAAAAAAAGTTAGTTTGGGCTTTGGGCTCTGTAAGGACCTTAGAAGCCCATAGGGATGGAGACCCATGAAACCCAAACGCCGTGCCCGCTGGTGGCAAATCTTCGTCCACCTCTTCGTCTGCACAATTTTGCATTTCTCATTTCTTTGAGTTCAAGAAAAAAACGACCCAAATAAGGATTCGTACATATTGAAACCAGACCTCGAACGCCGGGTTGTCTCTGTTCCCCTTCGAATCGCCATGACTGCTCTGCAATACCTTGAATCGCTGCGCAACGCGCACCCTGAGCTCTCAGATTGGTATAATTCGCTGGAAGATCTATACCAGAAGAAACTCTGGCACCAGCTCACTCTGAAGCTTGAGCAGTTCGTTGCTCTTGCTGTTTTTCAGGTCGGGTTCCCCCCCCCCCTTTTTGGTGTCTTTGAAGTGTTTTACTTGGGATTATTCTTTGTGCCCATGGATGCGTTGGAAAATGCTGTTCAGTTTTTTATTATGTGGACTAGGGTTTTTGAGTTGTGGACAATTGCTATGGATATGTTTCTCCCCTTTTTTAACCCTAGCGCGATTAAGAAGTTATTGTGGGGTTTGGATATTGCAATTGTAGCTATGATAAATCCTTATTGGTTTCCGAAAACGACATGAGGTGCTTAATTGGAGGTTTTGAATGTGAAGTAATATAATATGGAAAAATGGGTTTTAGGTAGAAACTTTGGACTTCCTGATCTGAACTTTCGTTTCAGTTATTTGATTGATGGATTTGGGTCATTAAAAGCAACTAAAGGCCAATTAATTTTGTAATATGCATATTTTTCGGTTTTTATTGGGTAATGAATAGTAATATAGTATTGTTTTCCCTAGTTGTACTACCTACTATGCTCAATCCTAATTGTCCAGCTATACATTCTGATTCTAAAACTAAAAGCCTGAATCTTATACCAGAATATGGGGTTTATTGCGGTTCTCCTTTGTTAGACTTTCAAGAAAAGAGATAACTTTCTATTCTTGTGGATGGACGAAATTTACCTTATAAGAACATTTTTCAACATAAAATATGAGGCAAGCAATTAAGGATAATGAGAATTAATAAGAATACAGGAAGTTCCATATCGCTTTGCCCAACTAACTTGAAATGTGGTTAACTCTAACTTTCATGGTGGAGCTGTTGCAATTGGTTGACAATTTATGGTTGTGATAAATGGCTTGGAATTTGTGATTAATTAGCCCCCCCAAAAAAAAAACATTGAAATCAGAGTGCAGTATGATATATAAGAGACTGGAGCTCCTTTTAAAGCAACAGAGGTGTTTAACATGAACAAGCTTTGCATTTAATTTTGATTGTGGTTCTATGTTCTACTGACTGAATGCATTTTTATGAGAATGGAGGACTGATGTCATACATTACCTGATAAAACCTTATTACATGGTTGAATTTTAATTTTTTAACATAATTAAGCTCTGCATTCTGAAGACCCGATATATTTTTTTCTTTCCTGGATGGCATGTTATCAGGGTATGTTCGTTGCAAATTGTTGCACGGTCTCACCCTGTTACTTGCTATTAACCACTTATTGTTGAAGGCAGTCAAATTTGGTCTACGTGAGCTGCTCATTTAGATCATTTTATCCATATTTTAGATTGACTTCTTTTTATTTAGATCCTGAAATGTTAGAGCTGTGCTAAACATGAGTCTAACTTTATAATTTATTCTGTTTCTCTTATTCTGTTACTGAAGTTGCTGCTAAGATCATATTCCTGTGGTAAATTCCTGTGTTAGAGATCAGAGTAATTTCCAGTTCTGACTCCTCCATTTTCATATTTATTAATTTTTAATTTGATATCGACTGTTGTGCATATTAATCTGAAGAGCTATGATTTATTTTTTGACTAATTGCACTCGCTATAAAATTTCAGGCCGGTGATGCTCTTATACAGTTATATCACAATTTCATAACAGACTTTGAGACTAAGATCAATCTTCTCAAGCTTGCACATTTTGCTGTGACTGTGTCTCGGCAGTATTCTGAAAAAGAAGCTGCTATTGGTTATCTTGAAGGAATCATTGAAAAGCTTCAAGCTACGAAAGAACAGCGCATAGAAGAACCAATTCTTTACATCAAGCTGCAAATTGCCTTATTTAAGCTTGAGCAAGGTGACCAAAAGGAATGCAAGAAACTTCTAGATGATGGGAAGAGTACGCTTGATAGCATGACAGATATTGATCCATCTGTATATGCTAGCTATTACTGGGTATCATCTCAGTATTATAAATTTCGCCAGGAATTTGCTGAGTTCTACAAAAGTGCTCTTCTCTATCTGGCATATACATCAGTGGAGTCTCTCTCAGACTCATTCAAGCTGGTACGCCTTCAGAATTGTCTTATATGTTATTTAGTTGCGCGGCCTTTGTTGTAACACTTGCATGCATATCTCTATTTTTGTTTGCTCTTGACTGCAAAAGAGGATCAAAGGAGCATATGAAAGTTGTTTCTTGATGTTGTAACTGTTCAGTATTGAAGTAAAAATTCCTTTCTTAAAGAGGAGATTGTTTAATAGATTGTGTATTATGTTATTGATACGATTGTTCCCAATTTCATGCGAGTGGAGTATATAAAGTTGGTTCATTTGAGTTGATATATTGATGCTTTATTCATGTTTTAAAATTGCTCATGTTCAAGGAAGTAGTAACTTGATTGAAATAATACATATCAGTGAATATTTTAATCAATTTAGACTATTGTTTCTCATATTTCTGAAGGAAAAGTACTTCGGCAAGAATTTACTTAAAAGAAATGTTATTAAAACGATGGAAAACTTGCTTCTTCTTTAATAGAAAAAGTCTCTTGGAGTGAGGATGGGACGGAAAGGAGGAAGATAATAATTCGATCAGGAAGCATGATGAAAGAGGTGTTTGTGAATGATTAAAAACAAGGCCTGTAGCTAACTTGCAAGTTTAAATTGGGAACAATGGCTAAGGGGCATGTTTCTTCATCCTTGTGCTTTAGATTGTAGGATCTGGATCGCTGTTTCATGTAATTAGGTGCTATGGAATTACCATAGTGGATCTTAGCTATTAAGTATGATGGCTTTTGGTAAGAAAAAACGAGCACAAAGCTTGACAGTCTGCATTTTTTCTGGAATTTGGTGACTATGGTTAGAATGGGATGCGATAAGCTTTTCCTGTAACATCTTAGACTAATATTTTGGCCACCTCTTGGGTTTCAGACTTTCAGTGTGTGGCCTTTGTATGGAGCTTCCTTTGTGGATTCACAAAGGGATTGGCAAGTTATTTGGAGCTAATAATTGTTTACCTATTATGGTTTTGGGTTTTTCCTTGTTCTCCATTGTTATTTTCTTGTCATTAAATTGCTTTGTCTAGACTAAGTTGTACTGTGGTAATGACTAATGAGTTGGCAAAATGTCGTAATGATAATAATGCTTGTGCACAACATGTTTTGTCTCATTTTTTGTATTAATTCTTATTCATGTGTCATTGTAAAGACTAAAGATCATTTTTCTGGTTTACTGTTGCTTTATGCTTGCTTCATGGATAAACTATAAAGATGTTTAATTTGGTTTTGGAAGAAACATTGATTATTTTGTTTTTGGTAAATTGTTAATTGTCAGTCTTTATTTTTCTTGACTAATTGGTTCTTGTTGCACTCACATCAATAAGAAAGCGTGGAGAGGTCCTTTTTAGTTTAGTTCATCCGGTTTATGTTAGTTGATCTATCAGATTGTTTTATTTACTGAATTGTGGTGATTTGTTAGGATTTGGCATTTGATTTGTCCCTTTCTGCTCTTCTGGGAGATAACATCTATTGTGGTGATTTGTTAGGATTTGGCATTTGATTTGTCCCTTTCTGCTCTTCTGGGAGATAACATCTACAACTTTGGAGAACTTCTTGCTCATCCTATTGTAAGTATATTTACCCTAATTTTCTGAGTGACTATACTTGGAAATTATTTACTTTGCTGGTTCATGATATGTTTAGTCTGTTGTACCTTTTGCAGATAAAAAGTCTTCAGGGGACAAAGGTGGAATGGCTCTACGATATTCTTCAGGCATTTAATTCTGGCGATTTAGTTTGCTATCAAGAATTATGCCGGGTCCATAATGCTGCTTTAAGGGCTCAGCCAGCATTAGTTCAGAATGAGCAAAGATTGTTGGAAAAAATAAACATTCTCTGCTTGATGGAGATTATATTCAGGTAAGATGCATGTGCTAATTTGATTGTCATATGTGAAAATGAGGATATTTTGTCACATGTTACTTGGGCTAATTGTAAATACTTGCAGTCGACCCTCTGAAGCTCGAACTATTCCTTTGAGAGTTATTGCTGATCGCACAAAACTTTCTGTGGAGGATGTGGAGCATCTCCTCATGAAGAGCCTTTCAGTACGTCCTACTCAGAACTTTAGTGGAAAAAAATGCATTTGGGAACTTTTATAGTAATTAACTAATAACAGCCATCTATATATATTCATTAAAAATGATGTCCACCAAAATTAACTAATAACAGCCATCTATATATATTCATTAAAAATGCCGTCCACCAAATATTAATTACATCTTAATTTATGCGTTTTCAACTTATGGATGCTGATAAATGTATGCAAATTTCATTGCTTACAGTCTGCGCATTTGTATGGGCTTTTGTTTGTTCAGTCCTATGTGATAATGGTAGGAGAATTATGTTGCAGGTTCATCTGATTGAGGGTATAATCGATCAAGTGGATGGCACCGTTCATATTACTTGGGTGCAGCCTAGAGTTCTTGGAATTCCACAGATTAAATCTTTACGGGATCGACTGGATAACTGGACGAGTAAAGTGCACACCGCGTTGCTCTCCATCGAGGCAGAAACGCCTGATCTAATCGGGTCATGATTGTTTGGATTTGCTTTCTGTCCATTGTAACAATTTAAGTAGAAGGGAACACATCCTGGGGCGGCAAAAAGTGAGGAGACTCAGTTCAAATGGACTATAGAGCCAACTTTACATCTTTTGTTTGGTGCTGCCTGCTGCTCATGGAACACGCGCTTCCTGGAAGCAGCAGCCTTTTGTACTTGGCTTAGGAAGTGTTGGTTCTTTGGTTGCATGCTTAGAGACAGTGAAATCAATTTGAAACAGGCTGTTTTTAACGCTTTAGAGTGGTTAAATTAATCATAGACTGTGTATCCTGAATTTTGCCTGGATACAACCGGATTTGTCCACATTTTGAAGTGCATTTTACTTGTCGTCACTTTCATGATTATGAGATCCTTGGTTTGGGATGGGAATAACCTCAACTCATTCAAAAAGGTCGGTGGAAAGCATATGATGATTTTGGCTTGCAAGTAAAAATATCACGGGGATTAGGGTCACTGAGATATCTGTTTACTTTTTATGTGATTTGCAAATTATGCGCTAGTTTAAACAGTAAATCATAAAAAATTTCAATGAAGTAACGTAGTATCAAGATTGAGTTAAGGTATGTAAGTAAACCATGGTTTGTTTTGTTGTAGATATGCTTGTATGATGTTATTCACACGTCTTTCAAGACTAAACAGATTGTCAAACAGATTATGGGTGTGTTTGGATGAAACTAAATCGTGGTTTGAAAAAGTGATTCTGGAGAATAGATTCTGTAGAGAATGTGGAGAATAGATTCTGAGAAAAAGTAATTCTGAGAAGTGAGAGTATTTGGATAGTTATTACCAGAAGCACTTTTTACATGTGGAAATTATCAAAAAGGGTAATGAAAATTTTTTTACTAACATAATTAATAATATATAAAATAATATAATTAATACATAATTAATATGTGTACATATATTTATAAAACATAATATTAAATATATTTATAGAAAAATGATTTTTTTTATAACAGAAAAATATTAATTTTCTTTAAAGATTGTAAACGTAACAACAACTATCAAAAATATTAATATATATTATTGTGGGATGTTGTGTGGACCGACTGAGGAGAAGGCGTGAACGAGGAGAGGAATTATTGAACACAGAGCAAGTATTGAACACCCGAATAATTGGAGGCTTTGGTCATTGGTGGAGGGGCCCACCGTTCGTTTCAGCAATTGGACCCGAGAAGCAGATGAGAGATGCTGCCGTCCAAACCATGGTTTTACCTGAACCAAGGTTTGTTTAGTTTGTCTGGCTGTTTGGATGGTATTTTGTGCAAACCATGGTTTGGGCTTCCAAACCAAGGTTTGCAATGCCATCTAAACGGTGCCTATACCGAGGATGTACATTGTAATTGCGTCAATTATCTCATTATTCTGCCCATTTCATCGCTGTCCATTGCCATATATAACTAGGAAAGTCATAAAAGGCAATTTAGTTCACATGGCTGTAATTGAGCTTCATTTTGGGGCAGTTTACATCTCTGTTCAGGTTAGTTTTAGGTAAAATTAATTGGGTTAGATGCTTGCATTTAGTATTATGATTATATTTTGAATATGCTTGCCTTCAACCAAAAAAATTTATCTGTTTTTTAATTCATAATTTAAGTAATAAATATTAAAATAAAATAAATAGAAGATAAAATCTTAAGCATCACTGCTCTATCTTAAAATTTTAAGGAGAATTACTATGATGTCTCGAAAAAAAATTATTATAAAAAATTTCCATAATAAGTGAGCAGTATAAATCTCATATAAAAATTCTCCCAACAATTTTCTGTTTTGCAATTTTTAATTGAATGCCAAACTGCCAGTCCGCGGTACTTGGGAGATTTGGCCCCAACCGGCTGCACACATGCTTCCCCTGCAAACTTAGGCGGAGGAAAAATGGCGTCGCCCAGAATCGAACGGAAGACCTTCAGTGTGTTAGGCTGACGTGATAACCAACCACACCACGACACCTTGGTTGATTTGGGGCCTAACTTTTTCGTCCCCGTCCTGATTATCGCTAATCAGTGTCACAGATCTTGCCAGGTCTCTGTCTGGAGAAATACTTACATGCACCCAGTGCGCCACGTCATTCATACCCTGACCAATTATATGCACCAACTCATTTTTATTTTAATCCTATCTGGCATCCACTCATCTCATCCTCAGTTTGTGGGCATTTTGCATTCATCAATCCTCCAATATTCTGCATATATTTTATACTACTCTTTTTTTTTTTTTATAACTAATAACTACAACCCTCCTCTTATTTTTAAATATAAACGATAATCATAAATTATCTTAATTTTTTGTAGAAAATTTTCTATTTTGTCTCCATTAATTACTTATTTTAATACCTAATATATTTATTATCTCATTTTCTAAATCATCATCTTTCTCTATTCACATTTTTTCTCTTCTATAAATAACGGTGCTTAGAAGAAAAAACTTTTAATTTCGACTTATTTATTGTCTTTAACTAATTTTTTGATTTATGTCATGGAATTCAAAGTTGCTTATAGGAAAGGGACAGAGGGAGGGAGTACTTCCGGATATAAATATAATATCTAATTTATAATATAATTTTCACTCCTAACTAAATTTTATATTTAGGATGGGAGATAATGTTTTTAAAATATCCTACTGATAAATTTAGTTAATGATTGATCACATACCGTTTTATTTTATACGCCGAAAAAAAGGTTCAGCTTTGGTTCCACTTTTTTTTTTTATTATTATTACAAAAAGTGATATACGAAGTCTCTTGAATATGTTGGTTATTAATTTTTAAAAGAATTGTATGTTTATCCCCTTATTACTTTTAATGAATTCATAATTTATTTGGTACAACAATGAGTTTATATACTAATTATTAGTATCTTGCTTAATATTAATATATAAATAAGCAAAAACTAATGACGGAAGTGATGAAATTTTCTTGTTTTGCTAGTGTGATGGAAACTAGCACATGTATTTGGTCACTTTTTACAGATGAAGAAGAGGATTAAAACAAGGAAAGCGAATCATCATCATTAATTAGAACCAAGCAAGTCATCTCTATTCACACGATCAGCCTTATCATCTTCAGCAAACTCAGGCTCCTCGGGATCTTCTTCTCCTTCTCCATCTTCTTCCACGACCACACTTCATTAGCTTCATCAGGATTACAGAGAAGATGGGGAAGAAGAAGGAGAAGATCATCCCAAAGCTTGGGTTTGCTGAGGAAGATAAGGAAGACGACCCTGTGAATGCAGACAAGTTGCTTGAACAAAGACGAGTCTAATTTGCAGCTGGAAAATGATCCTCTCCCCAACAGATCAGAGCTCCCTCATATTATATTCCACGATACTCCCTTCACTGCTTCGTTCATGGAAGCTTTGGAAGGCCAGGAATTGAAGATACTGATGCAGCAGCTCTACTCAATGATGATCGAAGCAATTGGTCTGGTTGTTAATCATATTCTTAGTTCTTAATGCTGCACATTCTCTTGGAGTTCTAGCCTAGCTTTTTAGTCGTCTTTGCCGTTTCTATTACTCTGTAAATTATATCTGAGCAGTAAAATCCCCTTTGCTTTGATTCTAATGATGAGTTCTTTATTCTTTAAAGAAAGATTAGACTCGATTTATTAGTTTGTGTTGACTTTTTTCAGAAGATTAATTGTGCAAATGTACATAAAAATTGCCTAAGAAGCCTAGTACAATCTATTTTCTATGAATGTTACTTTTTTTTTTTAACTCAAAATTAACCTATTTTCAATCACGTGCAAAATGACAAATATTTACACACGGTTGAAAATATGTTACATATAGTTAAAAAGAAAAAAAGTTTTACTGTTTGATTTTGATTTTGGCAGTTGTTAATACTACTCTAACATATTAAATCTTATCCATTAGATGTTAATATAATGGTAGAGATAGTAACTAGAGAGAACTAGAGAGGAAACTAAATGTATACATTCCTAAGAAAGTATATGAGAGATATCGAGTAAAAATCTATTGAAGAAAGAGATTAAGTGGCATATGTTTAATAGTGATAAAAGTGAAAAGACTGTTTTAAAATTTTAGATAAAAAAGATTTATTTCTTATATATAAGGATATCATTATATGAAAAATTATTCCTTATAAAAAGAGACTGATGAAGTAAGAATTTAAATTTAAGGGATCTATTAGGAACCAACTTCCTTATTTAGGAGTTTATTTTTCAATAGCATCACACATATGCTAAAAGTTTGAGATTTCAAACGAGATTAAATCCGTTCCTCTTCACTCACAAGTCACAATAAAACTTGTGGACTACATTATCATGTCATTTGCTACAATAAATGAAACAGTGTTTTTTCAAAAGCATAATTTTTTTTTGGGGGTCTGTGTCTGTGAATTAACAAGTAAACATGGAAAAAAATAAAAAATTACAGCCCAAAAAAAAAAAGGAGAACAATTGGCGTCGCCCGGACTCGAACCGGAGACCTTCAGTGTGTTAGACTGACGTGATAACCAACTACACCACGACACCTTTGCTGACCCGGGCAGCACCGGTTTTAATGCCAGCCTAATTATCACTCGCTAATGTTGGCACACAAACGCATTATTATTTCCACCTCCGTTCTACTGAACCAGAAACACAGCAAAGGCAAGTTCCTTGTCAGCTTCCATCTGCTGCAAATTATACTGTGCTCAAATGAATTTACAAGGGTCGATACCAATTTTTGATCCTTCAAGTTTACTCTTATTTTAATTTCGATCTCTTAAATTTTTTTCATTTAAAATATAATTCAATGAGAATTTAGACCATTTTATCCCTTAAGAGATCAAAACCTATAATTTAAAGCTTAAAGGACCAAAACCCAAATAAATACAAACTTGAAGGACTAAAAATTATATTAATTCAATTCATAAGACCAACACTTGTATTTTATATTTTTTATTTATATAATACGTTTATCTTTTTTGAATAAATTGCACTTAAATTCTGCTAAAAAAACTGTAGGAAATCCAAATCTGTCGTTGTCGCCTTTGCATATTAAATATCAGCTGCGGGATCCAACTCTGATTTCATATTAGTTAAAATCAATAGCCAGACACCATCAGGAAAATATTTATATGTTAGATCATTTTCTTTTTCTTTTTTTAATTTCAGGGAAGGAGAGGGTGAGGGGGAATGTTTTCTTATGATTTAAAGGTAAACTAAGGTCTCTTCTTTTTTTTTTTTTTGGTACAAAAAAGGAAACCCCTCTCGCTTTTCATTCCGAGCACTTTGTTGAAGGATTACCTCAAAAGCAACAGTCGTATCACTCCCTTATTTTTCATCTTTTCGTTGGGCTGGGAATTC